TTTATGTACTAGTCAAGGCAAATCAACAAAACAGCTATGTTTTTAATCCAAAGCGCCTGTTACCCGACGCCGGGGAAGAATATCTGTGGAAGTATCTGATGAGGGAAAACCTTCATCAGCGCCTGGTACACCAACAAAGAAAAGAGGTGGCCGGAAGCCTGCTAAGACAGAACTTGAATTAATCAATGAAAATGGTAAGTATTATTTATTTAACTCAAGATATTGAACTGTAGAGTAAGAATTTGTTTTAATAGAAATATAGTTAGTATCTTTGTGATTTAATAAACAATCGGACAAATTTCAACAAACATCCATTTTTAGATCTAATGAATTTAGAAAACTACTAAAATAATACTCAGTTTCATAGTTTGTAAATTATTTGTTTTTTGTTAATTAGACTTTTACATGGTAATTTCTAGCTACGAAAAACAGACAAATTGTATTGTTAATTTGGTAAATAAAAGTAAAACAATAACACATAATAGTCTATTTTGTTATGGTCAGATTTATTCATTTATTTCAATAACATATTACATTTGCTGCTGGGAAATTATGCATAACTCACATAATATTTCTTCATTAATTTATTTGAATTATTAAACATTACAGTTGCAGAAGAAAATGTAAAAACAACAACAAAGAAAACTGCAGTAAAAGAATTAAAAGAAATTGAAGAGAAACCTGTGACTCCATCGCGGCGAAGTGCAAGAATTAAATCGAATACAAGTATTGTGTCTGACACTGTGCAAACTTTTGATTCTCCTAGAGCTAAAAGAGCTGCAAGAAGGACATCTCAAGCTGGTTAGTACGCCATTATCTTAAATTAGAAAAAAGTTTGCTGCATGTATGTACATTTTTATGCATGTGTTCAATTTAGGCCTCTAAGATAGACATTAGTAGCTATATTAGCAAAAGTACTCTGGAATATCTTATGGACAAATTTTAATTTTTCTTAACACTTATTTTTATATATTATGTTGTGTAATATTGTACTATAATTTAAACATAAATATAGTGAAATTTGTTGGTGCTCTTCCAGGAAGTGATAACGAGATACCACTTACGCCTATTAGGCAAACCAGACGAACCAGACGTGATTCAACATCAAGTATTGAAAAGCAAGGTACACACATAAGTTTTTGTTATAAAATAAAAACAGTTATTTCCTTTATTTTTCTTAATATTGACTATTAATATTACATATGATATTTATATATCTTTATAGATGCAGTAACATCAGATGTAAAGGCATCAACAAAAATCCCTGAACCTATCTCAGAGGAGCCAGAAAATACTACCAAAGTTACTAATGGTGAACTTAGAACTTCAGATAATGAAAACTCGAAACAAAGCCCTGTTCGAAGAAGTCCAAGACTTAGAAACAAAAAATCTTTATCAAATACACCAGAGAAGGACGACGAAAACAATGGTTTAGGTGATAATACGACTAATGCATCTCAGTCTAAAAATGAAGAGTCTGAGGATAAAGTTTCATCAACTGTTAGTCCTGAGAGAACAAATGAATCCAAGAATTCTCCTAACAATGCTATTAAAGAATCATCTGAAAAAGAAAAGCTTTCAACTTCTAGTGCAAATCTAATCAGAGATCTAGATATGAATCCTCGTAAAAAGATAAATGTGAACAAAAGTATGATAGAAGCTCAGGAGTCTAATAAAGTAAAACCAAAGAGACAAAGAACTAAATCATGGACAACGATAACCACACCTGTTGTGACAAAAGATGATTTCTATAGTGATAATGAGAAAACGAGAAAAAAACGTCAATCTAAATGTTATGTTGTTTTAGATGACATTAATAATTCAGGGTCTGGTGATTGCAAACGCAATAATAGCAACACTGAAGGCATTGATGTAACCGAAAAAAATAGCAGCATGAACAAGTCTTCAGTAAATAAAGAGACATCACTTCACACATCCAATAAATTAGATTCTAATAATGACGCTGGTGTAGACAGTGGAATTACGAATCTATTTAAAAATGATCCAAGCAATAACATCCAAACTGTGGTACTAATAGAAGATTCAGACAGTAATTCTAAACATTCAAAAACTCATAAGGAAGATGCGAATGAAGATCAATGTGTTCCAGTTGTAGATCATGAGTTAGAAGATGAAAAAAGTAATGACGAGCCTGATCATGCTCTAGCTACTCCTTTCGAAGCCAACAATGAATCTATTTTTAAACACACAACATCTTTCGAATTTAAACAATCAAATGCAAATGATTCGTGTGAACCAATGGATGTTGATGAAACATTACCAGAAATACTAACTAATAATTTGTCTAACAAAGAAATAGAATCAAAAGATAAATCAATTTCACACGAAACTGCTACAAATGAAAGTTTAAATAAATCAAAAAGAAAATCTTCCAAACGTGTTTCAACATGCGAAAATCTGGATAAAAGTGGAAATGAAAATAAAAGTACTCTAATACTATCACAATTAAAAGATTCAATATCTGAAAACAAGTCGCCACAAATTTTATCCAAATCACTTAACACCCCAAATGTTACAGTAGCAACGACAGAAATTAACAAAACTCTATCCAAAACATATTTAACTAGTACACCTCTTCAGAAAAAGAATATGGAAAAACAAAATGAGCAAATTTCGAACATTTTCGATAACAATGATTCTAAAAGTAAAAATAAAACTACTCCTAAGAAAAACATGTCAGCTATAACAAACAGTCAATCTTCTGATGACAACTCTACTGCTGATGAGGAATCTGAAGCAAGTGATAAGGAGAGTTTATTGGACAATGAAGCCGAAGAAGCCAGCGACAGCTATTTATCTGGAGACAGTCGTGATGAAGAAGAGAAACAATATGAAAAGGAAAACGAAGTAGTAGAAAAGGGCGAAACCTTAACATCCGATGAAGAGTTCTCCAATGACTCGGATTATGAAAAAGATTCATTTCTGGTGTCTTCTAATGAAGAAGACAATGAGCTACTCAGTGGAACCAGTGATGATTTATCAATGAGTGACAATGAACTGAAAATGACTTCAAAATCGAAGAAAAAATATAACGAGAGAAAATTAAAACAGCAAAAACAAGCATCAAGAGAAATGTTCCAATCACGTCACAAATTAACCGACTCTAAGAACAGATCAAAATTAAAGATACAATCTTCTCAAAGTTCTGATTCTTCAGAGTCTGAAGATGATGTGATAGGTTCGAGAAAAAATAAGAGGAACAGACTAGTTTCCTTTAATGAATCGGGTGCTAAATCGGATTTGGAAAATACCGTTCAGATGGAAAATCAACAAGAACGTAGAAAGTCATTAGAAAGCAATGCATTAATTGAAAAAGAAATTACTATTTGCGAAGAGACGTCAAAGGAAATCAATGATCCACTGGCAACTCAAATAAAATTGGAACCAAAGACACCAATAAAAGATACTAATATGTCTGTTGGATTTGTTGATGCGAATAATGTAAAAAATACACCTTGTCAACAAAATTCATCAAAATCTAAAAACCCGTTGGAAGATTCTGATGATGACAGTTCTTCTTTAAGTAGCGGAGACATTAAAATTACCAATAATTACGATAAAGTTCTTAAGGAATTAAAATCTAAAAATGCAAATGTCTCATTAAATGCAGACGAAAAAAGCAAAGCGAACTCTAAACAGAATAAATCTGGCGTAGACCTCAATTCAACACAGTTAAAAGAATCTACAAAAGTAAAGAATAAGTCATCCCAAAATATTAACGATGTGTCTTTAAATCTGAATACAAGTGAAAAGGAAAGCGAAAATATTAACAAAACAATTAATCCAGACGACATCGCTCATACTGGAACAGTCAAAAAATCCAATGTTGGAAATCTATCTCTGAATTCAAATAAAAAATCGAAGAAAAAAGATAAAAAATCAATTGTTGATCAACTAAATCTAACTCAAGTAAAGGATAAATCTGCAAAAACTGCGGTAAAAACTAAATCTAAACCAGCAAAGGAAAAGAAGGAAAGTTGTATGGATGACTCTTCTGATTCTATTGACTTAAAGTTACTTTTCTCTGAAGACAGTGTTAATAGTATAGATTCTAATAAACATAAAGAAAGAAAGACTGATGACAAATTAGAAGAATTTATACCGTTAAAGAAATCGGAAGCAAAAACCAATATTCGAGCAAATGAGGGTAGGTCACAAAATTTTTAAATATAACCGTACAATTGAGAGTTATTAAATAATAGCTTTCTTAAAGCAAAGACGTGTTGAGTCCGATAACAAAGTGATGAAATTAAAATATAAGTAGTAAAATTTCAATTACGTTAATTTTTCAACAAAAAAACTTATATTACTTTTATTATTTATATCTTTTAGATACTGATAATCAAGAGGAAGAAATGCCGTTCTTCATTGACACTGTTGGTGATAGCTCTATGAGGGAAGAAAATGATAAAGGACAGGAAAGTGGTTAGTATTCTTAATATTAAATTTATGTTTTGTCCAACATACAGTGGGATAATGCTTGTCGTGTAGAATTTGAAATGTGCGATATATAAGAGACTAAACGGCTTGACCTATTTTGACAACTAAAGTACTCTGTAACACTCTGCATTTTAGAGAAATAAAGTCAGCGGTGATTCTTTTTGTATTGGTTAATAATGCAAAAATGTTTTATATACTTACTATGAGAAAAATATAAAATGCCTTCGCTTAAAACATGAGCATAAAATAATATTAATAAATAGATTTTATCTTTAATAAGTTATATTTACCTTTTCAGATTCATTGAGTACAGCCGACTCTAATGACGGTGGCCCGCCTCTTGAAATTTCATATAAAAAGCGTAACTCCCTCAGTAATAACGTAAAAGAAAAAGGTAAATGTGCTTTTTAGTCTCTATAATAGAAAACTTACCAGTTTTATATTTTACCAGGCAAAAAAATTACTATAGGTAACTTTAAAGTGGTTATATCTTTGTGACTAGCAAATAGAGAATTTGTTTCGTTTTTTTTTCAGATAATCTCATTAACATCTCTCAATCAGAAAAGCCTTCAAATACTTTAAATGCATCAAATATTATTGGAAGTGAAAAGAAGAAAAACAAAAGGAAATCATTGAATAAATCAAATGTGACAGAAACTCAAACAACAGAATCTGGAGAGGTTGTAAATCAAACTTTGGTTTCGAAAACACCAAAAAGTGAATCTAAAAAGAAGAATACGAGTCTTTTAGAATCGCACAATGAATCGATTTTAGAACCAGTTAAAGACACTGAGGACGCTACAAATCAATCAGTGGTTCCAAAAACACCTAAAAGCGATAAGAAAAAGAAGAAAAACAACAGCGTTTCAGAAGCACAAAATGAGATTATATTACCTGAATCTAAACTGACAGAAACTGAGAACATTAATCAATCATTAACAAAAACACCAAAGAGTGAAAAAAAGAAAAACAAAAAACTTTCTGAAACTCAAGTTACTGATACAGACAATGCAGTTAACAAATCAATTACTTCAAAGACACCTAAAAGTGAAAAGAACAAGAGTATTTTATCAGAATCACTGCATATGTCAATTCTAACTAAACTTGATGACAGTGATGAGGAAAAAAATAAATCAGTAAATATAAAAACACCTAAAAGTGCAAAGAAGAAAATGAATTTATCTGAACCACTTAATAAATCAAATGTGGATGTACCTGAAACTATTGATGCAACTGAAGTTATTAATAAATCATTAAATTCACAGACTGCCAAAGAAAAGAAGAAAAAGAATTTGTCACAATCATTAAATATATCAATTCTACCTTCTATTGAAATTAGTGATACGGAAGAAAATACACCTACAGAAATTATTAACACTAGTGGTGGTAAGAAAAAGAAACATTCTAAATCACTAAACAGTTCAATGTTGGAGGAAAATAAAACATTAGATCAATCAAATAAGAGTCCTAAAAAGAAACAAAATATTGGAACAGGTATTTATATTTTAATAAATAAGAAGTAAAAAAAAATCTACGTCTATGCCAAACTTCAGCGAGATCCATACAACCATTCTCAAGATACTTTTAAACAAACATCCATCCAAACGGTCGCATTTAAAATATTAGTAAGGTTTCATTTCAAGTAAAATGTGTGTGTTATAACTCTCATAAAGGTATAATTACTGTCAGTAAAATTGATATTTCAAATACAATATATATTTTTTAATTTTGATCTGCAAGGAACATTCAAGGAATATTTTTTGGTATTTGTACTTTACTGTTTCCAAATTTTGGGCAAACCGTAATCAAAGTACTAGTAAGCTGTGGAAAGTGTTAGGCTATTTTACTATTGCATAGTAAATTTATATTATTTAAAATTTCAGCGGATGAAGATCAAAAAACGGAAACAGAAATTAAAGCAAAGGATAACATTGCAGATGAAGGTAACTCTCATTTCTATATTTTGATTAGAAAATTTTCACCTATTTAAAGACAAGATTAACAAATTAGCTTTACTCATTTTGTAGGGAGGTTACATCGTATCTATAATAATTTGTAGTTTCTTTCTAAAACATTGTTAAATAGAACTGACACAAGTTTGTACATTGTACAAGATTCGTGTATAATTATAAAGTTTGTTTTAACAGGAGAAAAGGACAATGAAGGAGCGAAGAAACGTAAAAGGAAACACTCTGGCACCCCTGCAATAGAAGACTTTATAACAGGTTTGTTTTAAATATAACATTAATTAAAATATTATTTTGAATTATAAGTTTAAACCTTTGGTAGATGTTTTTATAGAAAATAGTTGATTTTTATAACCCAAATATTATTTATATCTTTCTAGGTGAAGCTACCAACGAATCTGTTCGCAGACAATCAAAAAAACTGAGAGTCTCACAAAATTCCGAAGATACTGTAAATGATAAAACAGAAACAGCGGGTAAAGTATTCATTAAATTATTACTTTACAGTACTAATATATTCCATTAATTTCATACAAACAATAATATGTTTGCTAAATAAAGCTATCAAAATTATATAAATGAAAGTAATAAAATAAAAAAAAAGTAACATTTCACTACCGTTCAAAAATTTTGCTACCTCCATTTTTCTAGAAGAATTAGAACTTTTTTCCTACATTTCCAAGTTTCATTTATTAAAATTAAATTGTATCATGTATTCATACATCTTTTAGACATTAAAGCATTTGGATCCAGTCAAAAATCCCAAAACAACACCATCTCCCCTAAAAAGAAAAATAAGAAGAGTACGGAAGCAGAAAGGAATCAGTCACAAAACAAAAATGAAAAGAACTTACTATCGGAAATACATTTTGCTGGTGAGTGATTGGTTTGAATTATTATTATATCAAAATAATTTATACTTTCTAAATCATTATATTTCAACTTTAAACAGGACAAAATGAAAATAAAGAAAATGGACATGAGCACATACATGATGTGGGAAGAGATAGCCAAGCTTCTGTTTCAGGTAAAAATATAAGCTACAAAATGTAAAATTAAATGTTTTACTCTTGAATAATTTTAATGTATCGTAAACTGTAATGTAACTGGCTATATCATCTTTTCAGGAAACACCAAAACAAAGATAAGCAAAAGTAAAAAACGTAAACACAGGGAAGATGATGATGGAAGACATAAAAATGCTAAGGTAAGGTTCAATATGTATTTTTAAGCAAATTTCTTATGACACTTTCCTCTACAATCCTACGCTACTTTTATAATCATTAACCGTGGGATTCTGAGACTAAAGTCTATATATAAAACATATAGTCATCCCCGGCATTATCTTTGAAAAAACAGAGATAACAATATGTTAAAACGGGATTGTGTTCTCATAAACCCACGGTAATGATTTTTTTGAATTTACCCGGGTTAAATGTAAATGTGACGTAACAATAAAAGAAACTGAAATTTTAAAAGTTATTTTCATAGTTCCATTATAAAGTGACCAAATTACCAGTTCACCAGTTACCAGTGACATGTATAGCAAAACTCATATAAGCTGATGTTAAGAGAATTGATACATTTGTTTATGTTATTGGTCTGTAATATTGATGTACACTGTCATATTTGTTATCTGTTCAAAGGTCCTCAAAGAGAACTCGTTAGATCAGATACACATTCCTCGACTACCACCTTCGGTCTTAAATAAATTGGCAGACAAACCTAAAATGAAAGCTCCAGTGAAGAAACAAAAGGCAATATCCACTACAGAATTTCAAGTAGAAACTGCAAAAACGAGAAGGAACAAGCCATCGAACTATTTAGAAGAAAGCATTTATATTAAGGATGGTGAAGATAATGGAGCCTCTAAAAAACCGAAGAGAGTGATCAAGAAACCTCAAGTACTGCCTTTTGTACCTACAGCCTCGATTTCAAACAGTGGCTTCACGACAAATTTTAAAGTTAATGTTATACCCCAAGATATCAAATTTGTGGCGCAATCTACTAATGTCAGTAATTTTAAAAATGATTACTTGTATCGCAACAAAAATAAATTAGTTGCCCAGACGTCGTTTAAAAAGTACAGGAATATTAAAATGTCCAAATTTTGAACGTTAAAATGTAATTGTTGCTTAGTAAACAAAGACTGTAAACAGTTTGTTATTTGCTTGTCTGTTTTAAAATGTAATTTTTAGCAATGAAAACTATGGCCTTAATTGATATTTTGAGTGAATTCTCAGTGCCTACTAGTAGCCACTAAAATAATATAAAATGAATGTTAACCTTTTTATATTTACTATCTATGACATGACATCATTGTTGTTTTAATTTTTACATCATTCCAGTTTTGTTTTTTTTAAACAACGATTTTGTCATATTTGATTTTGTAGACTTTGCTTTAGTTATTGTTAATTATTATACTTAGAATATCCCGTTTTGTAGGTGTTTGACATAAATGTTTTTAGCTTTTTCTTATTAAAAGGATTTCATTTTAATTTTCCCGCCATAGAATAAATACTATATTGGTCCATAGATGGCGTTCATGAACGTTAAAAGTGATATCACCCATGTGTCGTGTTTTCGTCTAGAATTTCATTAATTTTTGATGATTTCAATGAAACATTCAATAAAATTGTTTTTTGAGCGTAAATATTTATTTTTAAGTTATTATGTAGCAGTTTAGGTGCGAATACTCGCGGAAACTACTTCCCGCCTTATCATGCCGGTGTAAACAAACCGCCATGTTGTTGAAAATGGCCGACTCGCATTTAGAGGTAAGTGCGGACGTAAGTATATGTTCATAAAAGTTAACTCTTAAATGTTATTAAAATAATATATGCTTTTTATTACTAGTGTTAAAATCTAGAAGGAAAATCTAAAAAGGCTTTGAAAAATAAATTAAGTGTGTCAAATGACTAGTGACGTCAATGCGTATTATACTTATGACCAATAGACGAGATATAAGTTTGATCACGTGGTCGTAGCCCGCCAATAGAGAGAGACTCCGTTCTTTGTATACCTTTTAACATAATAGTAAAACAGATTGTAGTCTATGGAGTGAGTGGTGTTATATTTGTCAATTTCATGACGGGAAAAACGTAAATGTGTGAAATTTGGGATTATTCTATTGAGCATAAGGATATTTATGTGAATAAATATTCGGTAAGTAACATTTCAGTTCTAACCTTCTTAAATTTGCCTTAGATTATACGTATGGATAATGGGAAAGTCCAATGGAGTTATGTCCCGCTCTTTTTAATGTCATTCATTAATTGCAGTGCCAGTAAAACAAATAAAAGTGGTGTTATTTGTCGTAAAACAATGTTTGTTATTGTTTTATACATAGTGGTAAAGTGGCGGGAAATTATTCCAGTTCGATAACTAATGTGTACTATAGCAATGACGTTGAATAATGATTTTTCGACTAATGGGTGTCAGTAAAGTATACCCAATAAGAACTTTTACGATTATAAATTCTAAGAATGATTAATATTGCATTTTTAACACGAGGTTTAGATTTATAACGGATTAAATTATTCATCTCTGATCCCTTTCGCACGCATAACGTAGATATTGCTTAGAACGGGACAGCATGAGTATTATTATTATTAAAACTTTTACGAATTGTGTTAAATTTACCCTTACTCAGAGTTTATTTTACGCTTTATCTGTTTTATTTACCTTCCTCTAATCTATTTATTATTATAAAACTATCCTACCTAGTTATACTTAATGTTCGTAACGGTTAAAAACGGCGCCAATTCCCCGTCAATGAACTTACAAACGGTTGTGAGTAGTATGTTCGAGCATGATAGCTATGTACCTATGTTTACATTCTTTCCAAGAATTAAAGTTTGATCAACACTTTCATAAATATGTAATGTTTCATAATGGGTTCTATAAAATCAATAATAAAACTTTTATATGATTTTCTGATTATAGTTGGAGAATAACATTGCTAAACATGAAATAGTTTTCATGAATCTACAGTGTAATTCTGTTCCCACGGCCGGTTCTGAACAAGAATTTCAAAACGTTTAACAATGAGTGCACTTTGTGTTTGTGTGTGTGTGATATTGGTATACATTTTGTAGGAGTGTGTAATAGTGCAGTAGAGTGCACTATACACAGAGCAGAAATTTGACTACTTTTTATTTGATTCCAAAATGAATATTTTGAGCACTTAATAACGTTAAATAGGTTTTAAATTATTCACACTGAATGAAAAATTTTATATTTTTAGAAAAAATCATTGAATCGTGACTGAATAAGTAATTATTTCCTTTAATATGAGTAGGTAGATACTAAAATCTCAAGCCAGTGCAATTTTATAAAAGGTCTTCTGAAATTGTACTTGCTGTCGCCCGCAACTCTGTTCGCGCGGAATTTAAAACGAAAAGTTAATTATTATTATGTGTTTTTCCATATTACGTTCTATGCCAAATTTCACCGAAACTCGTTACGCTGTTCTAGAGATACCTTCTAACATACATGCATCCAAACATTTCCGTTTATAATAACAGTATTACATTAAAATGATTAAGTAAAAATTACGTAGCCATAGAAATTAATACACTGGTTTGTATAGTCTGTGGCGAGTATGCAAGTGCAACTCACGAAAAGGGACTGGCGGCTGCAACTTATGGTGGTGTGCGTTTCTTTGAATGTAGTTGTTTCCATAATAAAAATGCATCGCTTCACACACCTGCGCTGTGTTCCGTCAGCCAGCCGTTACTCCCTACGGGTTAAAACATATTTACTACTGTAAATTATTAATAAATAATGTACTACATAGAAATGACAAGATTTGAATTGTCAATAGTTTTTTTTTCTTTTGACTATTATAATATTAAAAATTTAATAAATAGTTGTCGTAAATCTCATGAAGATGTAATCATATAAAATTTTTATATAAGCAAATATAAAAAATTTCAAGTAAAATCAACAGAATCTGCCGTCGTCAATTTCCTTAGCTCAAACAAGCAAACAGCTCTTGTATTTTTGTCTACCAAGATGGACAAACCTAACAAGTTATCTAATTTATTATTTCACTAATTGTTTTTGATAAAGAATTCATTTAGAGCTATAGTCATGAGCTACAGTGTCGAGGCAGGTGTTTGATTCTATTCGTAGAATTTTTCGGTTACGACCGACAACATAATTTAAAATTATTTATTTTATACAAAATCGGACAACTTCTGATACCTACCTCTTATGATATACATATGTAGTAAATAACCTGTAGATGACGTCATTATACCAACGTTTTAAATTTAAAAATAATAAATGTAATTCACATATTATCGATTGAATTCCAGCATACTTTTTACCTGTCTGCAAGGTCATCACATTAAATAATATTAGTGTAAAATATTATCTATTCTTGCAAGGTTGAGTCAGTAGTTGACTACGAGGTCGTTGCCCTCGCGCATGATCAGATGCCATCTCGACTGTAGGTATTTACCTTTTATTTCATTACGACAAAATTTTTCTTAACCTTTTTTTTCTAGCATAACGACTTTTATCAATTTTAAAATTTATAAGGTTTATAATTAGTGTTTCTTATGCATAATAAAAGTTTGTCGTTACGTCTAGACGCGGGTAACAAGATACAGGATGAAAGTTTGCGTAAAATATTTCCATTTCCCTCCCTCAGTTGAAAACAGGAAAGTAGACGGCAGTGGAACGAGGGGAGTGACTGCGCCACACGCTCAATCAATACTTGACTCCGCCCATTTTGTGATGATGCGCACGCAGAAGGAAAATATACCATAAGTAGTTTTCGCGCCAACCACCACTATATAGACCGTTTATTTTAAAACTTGTTTTGATCCATTTTACGCATAAAACAAAGTATCCTTTAAATTTTCTAGTAACTGCTTTATAATTACTTTACAGAACGTAATGATAATTTTTCCAATTCAAATACTATGTAACCATTGTACCAGATCAGTGGCCACGGCTACAGTCTTTCTATTTAATATTTACCAGTAAGAAGTTAAATATATTTTTGCTGTAAGGCCATATTTGAAGAATTTTGAGCTGACTATTGCAGCTCAGAGTTTGAGATTGCCATAATAACGTTTAAAATTTTCCGAGGCGGCGATTTTTCACGGTACCGAGCCGAGCATACGGAGAGACCTAAGGTGATTTGTTCGAGAGCCGAGCGAGTTGAGTTCAAGGCGATCGCACGCGGTCAGGTTCGAGGACACGGCGGGCGACGGCGCGGGCGGCGCTGTTCTCTTCCCGCTTACCTCACCCCCCTCTAAGTCCACCATCACCACGATCGAATTAGGCTACTGCAAACGGAAAATTTTATGAGTTTTCGGTTATTTTTAAAGTTAATTAAAAGTTCTAACGGTGGAGACTTCTTGAAACAGTCGTCTAATTTACATGGAATACATCCGTGTGATTTTTTTTGCCTTTGAAACGTATAGATTGTCGTTACAAATACCTTTTAAATTTTACTTCTAATAATAAATAAATTGACATTATTAGTATCCTTAGATCGAAAATCGTAAACACGTAAAATCGTATAACCATTTTCTAAAAATATTATGTACGATAAAATATCGTTGGCTTGACCTTAGATAGCAAAATAGCAATGAACCCACTACTGTCACATTAGTCTAAATGGGCGCTAATGCAAAGTGTATTCAGATTATTTGAATTGATTGAAAATTATCACGTTTCCACATTCATTATAATTTATAATCATAATGGCGCCTACGTATGGAGTAATATGAGAACAATTTTCAGTGACATAAAATTGTTAACATGTTGAATTAACAAGTTATTGGTATTCTACAATTACAATACCATATGGCATCTACATAGACTTATGCTGACGTTTAAATTAAAATGGATATTATTAAACTTGTGACGCGCACAGTCGAAAGTCGAGTGTGTCTCTAGCCTTACTGTAACCACATTGCCCGGTTACTTCGTTCCGATGCTGAAAACGGACCACCCGGGGAAATTAAGCTACTTATACTACTAGCTACTTCCAGGTCTCGTAATTAATAATTCAAAAACTTTTTAATACGTCAGACCCCATTCAGATAACATTTATGCAATAATTTTAATCCTATAATTTTTCCTTCCCTGTTATAAATCCTCAATATGTTCAAATGTTCTAGCTCAAACTAGAATTCATATTTAGTCGCAATGCAGTGAGCAAAATGAACTCTAAATAATAAAGAACCGGGTTCATGGCCCTCTGAGTCGAGGCCTGCTGAGACGGATCTACGGATTCTCTCGGCCTGTGTAACACTAACATAATGTCGATTTGAATAATAAAAGACATCACTATGACGTCACTCCAGCTCTAAACTGAAACTAGGACGATCTCAATTCATATTTAAAAATAACACTGTCTATCATTATTATTGAAATTGTATACTTGTCAGCGATATTTCTATTATTAATTACGATGTGCGATGTTTATAAAGTATGTATTAATATGACCTAAAAGTGTACTGATATGCGAATCCATTGTAAGTAATATAAACCTTTTCATATCTAGGGATTTCATCAAAGCGGCAAACTGATTATATTGGCGATTTATTAGCAAATAACATCAATTCCACAATACTACACTATATGTGTAACTAAGTTATGTTTTTATTCACTAGTATATAGTTGGTTCTTAAAACAACACCTTGATATTGTCTGTGCAAAAAACTCATCCCGGAAATGCTCTTTGGTAAAACATACAAAAAATCCGTTGTAAGGCCACATCGTACGTGTCATGAAGGAATGGAAGACCTACTTATTAACCAAAGGACATTGCTCCTGGTTATATTTTTTTATCAAGTATAATTTAAATAAATTTTGCTTGAATTAAAAACATAATATTGTTTAAATAAGAAGAATGTATTATTTATCAATCATATTTATTTGAACTGCTTATTAAGCTGTTATGCTTTATTACTAATACGAAATTATAGGTCTATTTTAACTAGAAAAATAAATACTGCTGTCAATATTTAAGTTATTACATCGTTCATCCGAAGCGGCAGTTCTCACATTGCGAATACCTTGTCCCTTCCCCGTTCGGAACGCAAAGCCGGCTGCAATATCATTAGGGGTCGATTCACCCGTTTTCGATCTCCTATCTCCGTCTCTTTTCTCCACCCCTCTAGTTATACCTCTCACTCTGTAACCTTTTCATTTTATTGTTCGCTTTAATAAGAATATTTTCTATCGACACGTATGTAAATATAGATTTTACATTCAATTTTAATAAATAAATTTCAATAGTTAGGAGAGTATGAATTTTAAAAAAATGTTTGAGTTACGTAACGTTTTGTATTTTTGAAATGCAATAAAAGTGTATCTGCACTTAAGTACTTTTTTAAAAAACAGATAGATTTAGAGTAGATTTGTTTACATTGATATTTTGACGGGAATTTGATAACATAGATAATGATTACGTGATAAGGTTATCAGTAAAAGAAATGTGATTGGTCGATGCCGATAAGATACACGTGTATATTATCTGTCATTGCACTCTTCGTATTCCCTCAAAATACGTTGCATTTATTACACAATATGTTGGTACAAACATCCTCATCGTTTTTAATTATAGTATCGTAACAAAATTGTTTAAAAAAACCATCTGTTACTTCCTGGTTTCGATTTCAAAGTAAGGGGTGAACATGACATTTGCCAGGAACATGGTGAATGAGGTGTCACTAATTCAAACTTAGAGCCTACCTATTACACTACGTGTACCTACATACCGGCGAAGCAGTTCTATAATATATTTCTACTACGGAGTTCTCACCCCCTAACTTTGGGGCCAACGAGGAAACGACACTTAACACTGCCGTACACAGAATCGCTCATATAATCAGTTCTTAAGTGTAGATTTCTCATTAAATCTACACAGAGGGTTCTCTTTACCGATAATACCATACGGCATTATTTAACAAACTATCACCATAAAAGCTATAATTTACACGTATGTATATGTTGCTATGATATCAACCTAATCGTATTGTGAGAGTCAAAAGGCAGTTTACTGAAAAATGGTTAGGAAGTAAACGTACTCGATTGAAGGAACAAACAATGTTAATATCATATCGGAAGGAGATGAAAGTAAAATTCTCATAAGTAAATAGAGAGCACACAAGTCGAGGACGCCTATAATTAGAAACACGGACACAAAAAACATCGTCCCGAATGTTGTAAGGCTCCGTGGCCTGTCTCCGGTGCGTCCGCTGCTGTTTTTTGTTCACGATTCTAGGTAGGAGCGTTCAGGTCGACCCCTCAACTATAACAAATTGTCAGTTGGTATAGGTCTGCACAATGATATTGTATTGTTATCTATAATGCAACAATTGTATTATACTTAAGTCGAAACGTGGGAACATTATACAGCTGGTTTATCTAATAGAAAGCTATTTCTTATTTAAATACTATCAGAGGCTTACAAACTCTAATTTAAAATTGTCTATTTCATTTTAAATATACATGCAAGGGAATGAAAAGTCATAAAACATGATTTAAAAGTAATACCTAAATCAAAAATACTATTTAATAGGTGTTTCCTAACATCAATTAATTGACAACATTTATTTAAATACTCATTCTAGCTAACTAGAAAAGGTATAAATTTAAAGTCTTTGTTATTATTATCAAAATACAATTTAGGTCAGACAGTGTGTGTAAGTGAAAAGGCGATACTATATCTCTCTTCAACTAGGGTAGCGCATACCATGAGACAAAAACAGGTTTCTATACCAAACAACGGCTGCGCTGCCGCCGGCCGTCGCCACGCTTTGTATGTTTGAATTCGACGATACCCGAGCGAGAGGGGATGGCGCGAAAATTGCATGCATTCCTTGAATATTTCTGTCTTATAACAAATGAACAATAACAAAACGGTATTACATACCTCGAAACTACTCGGAAGGGCCTTGAAAAATATACTAGTAGTAATATTGTAGATACATATCTGGATAATTTATTAGTAAAGAAATTCAAAATTTATCCATTTGTTCCATCAAGCCGAATTTTCTAATCAAATCATAAAAAAATCAGTAAAAAAAAATTAATTCATCCAATATTCATTACAATTCATAACTTAACAACCAAAGTAATGTTTTGATGTATCTATTCCTGTTTGAAGTTTAAATCGTCCTAAAAGACTGTTTTAATTATTTTTTATATAATTGTTGCAGGCCTGCTTAGACATGGATTTATACATAACAGATTCACTCCAAGACATGCTGGACATGGATATTAAAAATGAAATAGCAACAGATTTAAGCAGCATCACAGATTTTCCTGTAAGTAAAAGAATTTAAATTCATACCATAACAACAGTGTACTTGGAACGAGGTAAAACTTATAACAAAAAACTCTTTACAGGATTCTTTAGGACTGAACTTCTCGGAATTACCACCGTTGTTAGATATGGACACCGACAACTCGGTAACATGGCTAAGCAACTCCTCTAGTTTCGTTCATAATTTAGATTTATATGGTTCAGAGGCGAACGCTGTAATGGTTAATCCGAACTCCGTAATGCCTTCCACATTCGCGGAGACTCCAGTCAAGAATATCGTCAAAGAGGAAGCTTCAAACCTCCTGCTAACATCGGCGGCGAGCGAGACAAACAGTAACGCGTTACTAGCAAGCCCGAAAGAAGAGAAAAGTCATTTAACATTCTCACCTAACACTATTAAAGTAACCAAAGTACAAGAGACCGAGGAAACGAAAAGTAAACCTTTAGAAGAAGCTACACAAATGTTGATATACATACGGAAACAAGATAAGAATGTTGTCAAAGACTTACTTAAAGATTTAGATGTCGATAGTACTAAGAATAAAGTATCGACGATCAACTCACCGACAACGGTGCGCATAAAGACGACGCAACCGGAACTGATTAAACTGAACAGCAAGAACTGTTCAATATTAAATACTAGTCAAAAAAAGTCGCAGCACATCGGTGCGAAGACAATAATATCCGGCAATATACACATACTGGATGCACAGCAATCTAGAACAATTCTCGCGAACGGTAATAAAAATCAAGCGACCATTCTGATAGATAATTCCTCATTAGGAAACAGTAGACAAATTATAAAGACATCTGTAAACGGTTCGTTCAAAGTTGACAACAGCCAATCCAAGCTTGTAAATAGCAACGGTAAAGCTACTGTGGGAGAATTTCCGAAACCCGCGTACTCTTATTCGTGTTTAATAGCTATGGCTCTAAAGAATTCGCGAACAGGAAGCTTGCCAGTCTCGGAAATTTATAATTTCATGTGGTATGTAATATTTACTTAATTAGATCTGTTTGAGTTTTTAGATTATAATTAAAATATTTCGAATAATTCCAGTCAACATTTCCCATACTTCAAAACTGCGCCAAGTGGATGGAAGAATTCGGTGCGACACAATCTCAGTTTGAATAAATGTTTTGAAAAAATTGAAAAGCCTTCAACTAATGGAAGTCAAAGAAAAGGTATGTCAAAATTATATCCGCGAATTCCTATCGCATTATACAAAATGTTAAACACGTTTTTAATTACAGGTTGTTTATGGGCTATGAATCCATCGAAAGTTGGAAAAATGGACGAAGAGGTGTTGAAATGGTCAAGAAAAGATCCGCAAGCTATTAAAAACGCTATGGTTTATCCAGGTAAATTACTTTTTTACTGTATCTAAATAACACGATAATGTCTAAACTTCTAAGCTCAAATTAAAAGAGAATTACAATAACGGAGTAATGCACCGAGACACAATATTTATAGGCACATTTTATAATTATATCTTTAACGAAATAATTTATATTGGCTCGAATCCAACCTTCCAATCTTAGGACTGCAAATCCGTCATCTAACCTTTCCAATACAGCGCTTTATTTACTAACATTTACCCGCGGTACCACTTCATCATTTCCGTTATCCATTCACAAGCCGAGCTCATTTCCCGAATATAGGAAACAAGATAATCAAAATTTTAGACATAAAAAGTGATCTTATGATTTTCTGTGCCCCTGGTAGATTAACCCTTTTAATGCCACTACCATTTTACATATTTGCAGTGAGCTTACAGACGATTGGCACTGAACGTATTAATTAACAAATAAAAAAACGTTCAGGACCGTAATGTGAATTTACAGCTTTTTTTTTTATAAAGCTAATATTATATTACAGATAGTCTAGAAGCGTTAGAGCGCGGCGAGATGAAGTACAGCGGGTTTGCGAGCGACACTGAGGCTGAGGACGACGTGGACCCTGACGCAGATGTAGAACTGGATGCGGACCTCGAGATAGACCCCGAGGTCAAGGACGAGGAGGAGGAGACCATCATTGAACAAGTCAGTAATATGTCCTAGACCATCATTCATATTTTTTTAAATTAATCTAGTAGAAATTAAAAGCAATCGATAAAATAAATAAGTTACCTAACTCATAATAAAAATAATTACCCTGATCAAATAAAAGAATCAAAAGTATGCAATGCATCTGCAATTGCATATATTTATGGGCAGTGGTCGCTACTTGCTAGCTTGCCACCATATAAAAAAAAATACAATAAATTATTTCAGAAAATGCTAATGCTACATGAAACATTACTTTAAACCTGAACTATACGAACATATTGTCGTGTTTACTTTTATTATATGTCGCTGTCAAATTCAATTCATTCAATTGACCTAATGAATTACATTTACAAGCAAGTAATCAAATATATAGCTCAAGAAGTATGTTATTGAAACCGGTTCAAATATATTCACCTTAACCGAGTAATAGCGTTTGGTAATTGAAGTACAAAAAACTTTTAATTATGTCATCAGGTATTTTGCACCTGTTAACGTCGATTCAATGTTTATAGTTTTAAAAAGCAAGTTTTCGACGAATTTGTACACCTTTTGAATTCAAATTTTAGTATTATTTTTTTATAATGTAGTATGGAAAAAAAAGAATTATAACACTATTAAAAAAAACTGGCTATTGGGAAAAAACTTGAATGAAACTACTAAAGATCGGTTCAGCCCTAAGCTATATGATAAGGTGGCAAACGAGTTAGCAGCAACTTATATTTGTAGAAATAGCGAAGCGTAAGAAAGGGGTAGGACGGGAAAGAGAAATAAAATTAGGCCTCCGGCACGCAAAAATCCGCACTAAAATAAATACACTCTTTGAGTAAGTCAGGTTATGATAATTTAATAATTCATTTGCGATAATTCCAGGAGGCATCTGACCAAGAGCTGGAGGTTGAGGAGGTGGTGGCGGGCACGGGCATGGTGGGCGGCACGTACCGCCTGCTGGCCACCGGGCCCTCCTCACTCGCATCTTACATCACTGATGTTGACTCCAGTGACGAAGTCAGCGACATTGAAGTAAGATAATCAACTTGGATATTTTGTTTACTTTGCCTGTAGATACTACCATAGTTTTTTCATACTAATTAAGAAAAATGTTGCATAAAATCAACAGTTTAAAAATGCAAGGGAATAAACGTATGTCTCTTTTTTGCATTTTAAACTATTTATTGTATTGTTATGAGGAAGCTGAATCATTTGAATTAAATTACGATTGTTAAAATTATTATATTGTATTAAATATTTTATAATGCTTCTTATAGGTATTGGACCAGTCATACGAAGAATTCGATATCGATGTCACGAAACCAGTGAAGCTCGACCTGTCCATGACAGAAGATTATTCAAGTTAGTATTATACTATCTTAAGTTCATATATGTCCCCACGAGAGGCTAAGAGCCTAGCCAAATGTCTTAATGTACATATGAAATACAATTACAATGTAATCTAGTTGCTCAAAATATCGTAGCGATTAAAAATTAAACGATTATTTACTTTTCAGTACACACAGCGAAGAGGGCAAAGACGAATTACATCTATCAGCCAGTGTCTACCACGACACATACAAGCAGACGGAAAACTCCGCTTGTGAATCGAGTAGCGCTTATTTAAACAACGACAGTGGCTTTAATGCTGTCCGAAGTCAAAGTTATAGTGCATCCAGTGAACGTTAACTTTTTTATTCTTAAACTAAAGTGAAGTAGTTGTCTAGAAGTTTGTGTGTGTGACTGTGTTGAAGAAAAAAGTGATAGTCCGTACCAGATAAGTGTATTTACCATGTTTATTACATGCCAAACACTTGTTACATATCGTTCACTGTATAATTAGTGTAATGTTTAAGTTAGGCACGTACTTCACTCTCAAAGTTGAGTACACGATGGTTTCCGTTTAGTTATTAGTTGGTTGTTTTTCTCTCAGCCATACACTGTCAGTACAAATACATCGCTGCTGACTTCACACATTTATGTCGGAGAATATTCCAGAAGGAATTTATGTTTTTTTTTTACATTGTATGGATAAAGGTTGTGTTCTTTTAAAATGGAGGTATGACATATAATGTCTGTATTCAGCGGCAAACGGCAGAGCGGGTATGTTTATGAATTCCCACCGCTTGTAAATATACATATCTGTATTACATATGTTCTTTTATATATTACACTGGCAGCTACCTAAAGAATCTCTTCTTACAAATTTCTCAATACTAAAGTAAATATAAATTACAGGTAATATTTAGGAACAGATAATTTCAAACTTTTTTTAACAAACCCCCTCCGTAAAGAAAATAATCTTAATAATTAAAAATAAATCATCACTATTGTATATTTCAATCTAATTATGTACCTTTAACATTTATTACACTGTAATATTATGTATTTGTCTTTGATTCTTTATTTAATTAATTAATAAAACTTAGGATTATGGTATTTTAAAAATGTTTTTCCAAACATATTCTCACACAATTAGCATAGTAGAACTGTAAAATATAAGCAAATGGCACTTCCAGTAATATTGGCTCAGTTTTTATTTGTTTTGACATGAATTTATTACTTACAAAATTATAAAAATGAATACAAGTTTTGAAATTTTATTCAGAACTTATATTTGTTATTTTTTCATATTTTTTGTGATTGATGTCTAAAAATGTACTACATAGATTTCTTGTAATTAACGCTCCAATGAGACTGAAATGCAATTTTTGATGATTGGACAATTGAAATTGATATCAACAATATTTTTCTTAAATTATAAAATTATTGCTACTATTATGGCTAAGTATATCCAATTGCAAATGAATACTAAAATTTTGTAAAACATGCAAACATCAAACTAATATTATAAAGACAAATGCTTGGATGGATGAATGTTTTTTATTGGTATCTCCAGAATGGCTGCATGGATCTCACTGATATTTGGCATAGATGTAGAACATAATTTGGAAAAACACATAGGCTACTAATCAAGTTTTTTTTTAATACCGCGCGGACAGAGTTGCTGGCGACAGCTAGTTACTCATATAGTGGACTAAATAAGAAATAAATTGAGGTATCAAATGTTTACAATATTTTGGTTTTTATTTGTAGTAAAGGAGTTCAATTGCCAATCATCATCATTTAGTTTGTTTACAGGACTATAATTTGTATCTCTACTACAACTTTAACTTAATAGTAAATTTAAGTTAATACATATATATTTCTAGTAATTCATGTGTAATATATAAAAAAAGAGCGTCGGTGGCTCAGGGGTCAAGCACTTGACTTGCAATTTGCAGGTCCTGGGTTCGAATCCCGCCATGTACCAATGTGTTTTTCGATTTACATATGTACATTTATCCGACGTTCTTACGGTGAAGGAAAACATGGTGATGCAACCTGCACATATCTGAGAAGAAATTCAAAGATATGTGTGTAGTCAACCAACCAGCACTGGGCCAGCGTGGTTGACTATGGCCTAGTCACCCTTAACTTAGGGTAGCTACCGAGCCCCTCGGTGGGGACATATAGCGAGCTGATGATGATGTAACTAAAATATATCTGAAGAAATTCCAGTTTTAGTTAAAAATGATATGTTAATAATTATGTATGAGATTCTACTTACATTTCATAAAACAGGTAATTATAATAAATGTGTATTTCTTTGGAGGAAATTTTTTAAAAATCTTATGAAATTTGAAAAATTATTCACAATTTACTAAACTTTCGTTAGAAATTATTTATAATAAAACTAGTTCACAAATTAAAGTGATGTAAAATATGTAGAAATTAAAACTAACATTATGATGTAAAAAAAATAAAGACCTTGCCCAGTTAATTGCTTAAATTAAATTTTCGATTTTTTTTTGTAAGGATTAATGGATTTTAGGAAATTGAAATTATTAGAATGAATTAAATATGTACTAGCAATCTCTTTTTACTATTAATCATTAGTTAGAGTAAAACTGTGATATGAGATTGCTATAAAACATATGTTAACATCATTAAACTCACCTAAGTTTGTGTTAAGCAAAGGTTTAACTACATAGATAGGCCTTTTTCAACAAAAATGTTTTTATTTCCCTTAAGAATTAACAAGGAACATTTTGAAAATAAATATAGCGCGGAGACCTTATAGCTTGTAGAATTGTATCTCACCTTTTTTACAATTCTAGATGTTTTCTTTGTTTACAATATTGGCCTGTCTATGTACTGAAATCTTTCCTTTATCTATATTTTCTTTGGTTATAGCATAGATTTGATCCCAGACAGATGTGTCTGTAATAAGTAAAATGATGTGTTTTTTTATGAATTCAAAAAGGTAATTATAATAATTGAGTTGTGTTTTTGTTTCCATGTTTGTGTGCATCTTGTTACAAACATGTTATCTTAAATTCTAATCATTTAAAACTATGGCTCTAAAAAAATGGTATTGCTCATTTTCTTGGCAACACATGATGTCTGTTGCCAAGTAAATGATTGTATATCATTTTTAAATTTTTGTACACACTTCGCCCATTTTTTTTAATATTATGTTTTGATTATATAAATCACAAGGTGTTTTCTCCATTAGAATATTATTAGTCTCAAATCTTAGACAATTATGATGGAAATAAAAAGCACCTTTCTGTATAAAATGTTAAAAGTAAGAAATGTATAATGAAAGATCGATACCCAAATATTTGGCAGGAAAACTTTATGGAGAATACAAGAAATATATTTCTAAATAATTTCAAATATCTTGGCGGCCCTAGATCATTGGTGTGCCGCGTAGTGCCCTCCCCCCACACTTCACATTGTGTTCTGCGCAACCTGAAATAAAACCGCCAAGATATCTGAAAACATTTATACTTGCAATCTAACACATTCTTTATAAATAGTTCTTTCAGATACATTTGTTTTAGTTATTAACTAACAACAACGTCTTGTATATCATATAATGCAGATGACCGATGTAAGTCATAAGTCCGTTACTATTAATCAACTCGGCTTGTGACTTTTTTCATGTAATTTTACTATTAAATAGACCTGTTGGTCTGAGTACTCAAGTTCAAAAAATACTGTATTTGTTACACATCGTGACCGTTATTTTATTAACCTTTGGGGGTGCTTTAAGTTTAATGTATTTTTATTAATCTAATAGTGTGCAATTATGTAAATATTTTATGTCTTCAAATACTTATTTGGTAGTTGCCAGTGAACGGACCATTCAATTCATTCCTTAATTGCTAGAAGCCTGCAAGAATGCAGAAGTAGGAGTTAAGGTCTTCTTCACGAGATTTTGTAAACAATTTACTGGCCATTCGAATAACAGTTGACTAGCAGATGTTTAGACGTATCATGATTAAAATAAGTAACGTATTTTTCCACTGCCAGTATTTGAACATCCAGAAATTGTAAGTGTAATACATAAGATTAGAATATAGTTTAGTTTATAGCTATAGAAGCTAAGTTGAATGATTTTTAATAATTTTTTTGTAATAAAATGGAAGTAATAATTGTGTAGTTTCATTTATTCCTGCAATTATTTATTTTATTTAAATCCTAATTGTATAAAAGAAAACCTAATTGTACCAATGTAAAAAATACCATATGAAATTAAACATGTTATTGTACAAAATTTTGTTGCTATCTAAAAGAATTGATTAACCGTAAAATGCAAAAACATCTTTCTACATTCTATCTACATGAGATCAAATAATCTCAGATATAGTTTTTTGGTAATTACATACTTAAATCTAGTCTTATTAAAAAGTGTTAAAATTCATAATTAGTCGGTGGCAAACACCGAAAGCATTTTTGTTGATGCATTTGACTAGGGATGCCTGAGCCAGATGATTTGGATCGTTATGCACTGTGTTGATCGATTTATTGATAAAATATCTGGAGTAAAATATTTTAATTCATTTTTTAAGGCAGTGGATTTTTATGGTAAATGCTAAACACTCGAAATAAAACAAGATCACATTACTTTTTAAACCCTTACTACAGCTAGTTAATAAAATTGACTAGTAATTGATCAGATCCACAGAGGTCATATCTCGATACACTAGTGGATCGAATGGTGTTGTATCGAAGCAAAAATCAAATGGATCCAGTTCCAGTGTATCCACCAAAGTATCTTATTGTGTACCCAAAGAGTATATAAAATGTTGTGTACCCGTAATCCCTAGCTGTCACTGTCATCTGTTAAAAACGAACGTCGCACATGCTAGGAATGCGATTGTTGTTATTTAGTGCAACTGCTAATCTTTGTTTTTGTGAAATATAATTTAACGTATATATCCTTTATAATTTTAGCTTGTTTAACGGTGCCTTGCTATGTCGACACGCGAAATACTTACTCTTCAATTTGGCTATTATTCGAATCATGTTGGGACGCATTTCTGGAATATACAGGAACTTGGTTTTGATTATACAGGCACTGAAAAAAGTGAATGTAACAATGATGTTTTGTACCGAGAAGGACGAAATACCAAGGGGGAGATCACTTATACTCCTAGACTTCTAATATCAGATTTAAGAGATACCCTTAAATCTTTACCGGCTACTGGTGGTTTACCCGACGAAGATGGACAGGAAGACTTTGAATGGAGCGCTGTAGAAAAAATTCAAGAGCCAGTTGCACAAAAGAATGAATATTTAGCAGATATTGACACAAAACCTCTGAATGAAATAGTTTCAAAAAAATACCAGTTGGAGGATCAGATTAATACATGGACTGATTATTTATATCCTAGGTTACACTCAAGAACAATTAATATTGTCAAGGAATACCAACAAGGCTCTAATGTAAGTATAAACTGACTAATAATGTTTTAAAATAATCATATTTTTTCTTAATAATACTAAATCAATTCTCAAACCCATATCTTTCTTGGTTAGTACCACTAGGACAATCAGCAACATTTACTTATTTCTAAATAACCTACATTTTGGTTTCAGGAAAGTTTTGATATCTTCCATACTGGACAATCTTTGTGGAAACAGGACTATGGTGAATCATTTTCTGATAAAATTAGGAACTATGTAGAGGAATGTGACAGTATGCAAGGCTTCCATGTCAACTTTGATTGTGTTGATGGGTTTGCGGGCCTAGCTCTTGGCTGTATTGAACATTTAACTGATGAATATTCAAAATCAATACTAGCCCATCCAATAATTCCTTCTTATTTCCCGGATAATGATCCTACTACTGATGAAGAAAAAGAAATTTCTACTGGAAAAGATACACAGAGAATAGTCAACATTGCTTTCTCATTGAGTGAACTGACACAATTGGCAACACTATTTGTTCCTCTTTGCACTGGCAATAAGGGATGGAGGAAACCAGGCAAGCCAATAGTATTTGATTATTTAAATTATAAGCCAGAATTGTATTACCACTCTGCAAGTATTTTAGCATCAGCTTTGGACACATTAAGTTACAAATACAGGCTTAAATCCAATATTTACACATTGTCTGATGCCTGTGCCGATATGACTGGGTATGGAAGAAAGATGGCGGCAGCCTCTTTGAGACTTCCATTTGCTATTCCTGAAGATCAATATATAAATGAATTCTTAGAAATTAATGAAAAGTCACTTTACACATCGATAACACCTAGTTGTGACATAGCTCCAGATAAAATATTCCAACTTATTACTATCAGAGGAATTGAGGAATATTTAATGAAAAAAGATGAAAGAAATCCTAAATACAGTAATGTCAAAGAAATGTTTGAGTTATATTTTCAAGCAAATCATTTTCTTTCTGCTACAAATGTAACAATATGTGAAAAACCATTACAAATAAAGCCACCATTTCCAAATATATTCTCAGAAAAGTTAAACAGACATGGTTTTGTTACAAATGAGAAAAATCAAACAAAGGTTGAGAGTTGCGCATTGATGGCAGGATAC